ATTTTAGCTCCATTGTGCATAAGCACAGCTTCACAGAGCCACTAGTGTGACTGTAGACTCTTGTTTAGGAACTATATACCCAATCTTTTCCTAACCTTAAATGAACAGCATTTTAATTGCCTTGCTCTAACCAGAACGATAGAAGTGGCATGATGTTGTTATTTTAGTTTTAGTTTTTAGAAACATTTTCCAACAGCCATACACTTAAACAAACAGAAGACAATTGTAACTGGATATACAGGTTTAGTCATATAAGATAGTAAATGGATAAATATAATATATAGCTGTTTAAGACAACATATGGCAATACTTACACACTTGCATACAAAAAAATCTAAATACCTATGAATATAGAAATATATATATATATATATATATGGGACAAAAGAAAAGAGAAAAAGAGAAAGAAAAGGAGTTGATGTTGTTATAACACCAGAAAACCTGAAAGAATGTCAGAGTGGATGGAAGGCATGTTTGACACAGAAGATCAGAAGAAGGTCTTTCCCTATCCAAGTACTTTCTTTCTGTAATTCTGTCATTTGTAACAGTTTTGAAAGTGAACTGTCAATTCCTGTTACTTCTCATAGCTCCTATTCTTCTCCTAAAAAATAATCCATCTCACCCTTCTGAAAGGGTATTGCCTGAGATCCCAGCATATCATTAGCCACAATAATCAAAATAGAATCTGTGGAATCTGAATATATTTTCTGTAAACATCCTGTTTTATCTAATGTTGCATCCTAAACAATGAGTATTTGTGTTAATTTCATTACCACATGTGAGTCAGCTTCACAGAATGCAGAGGCTGATCATTAATTACGGCTACATTAGGGTTTCCCCGAATTACTACTCCTGTGTGCCGCTCTGTAACACAGTGTGTTACTGAAATACTGCACAGTTAGAAACTAGCAGTAAAGCACATCATGTTCCCTCACAAAACAGCCTCTTCCAGCTCCATCTAAAACCGCTCAGGCCACATTTCACCAACCTAATTCACAATAATTGATTTTTGTACCTACCCTTGCTTTTATAGTGCAATGCATTGATGATAAGAGTTTGTTTGTCTCAGATTGACTGCAGCCTGTTTTGAACATTTACAGACATCAGGCACAAATAACTTAAAACAGTTTTCCTCACTAGGGAACATCTTGCTCTGTTTCTGATGATGAGAGCACAACTAACACTCTGTGGGTAATTACATTTGGAGAGGCTGGTATCACATGTATCCCTGTGTGACCTGACATCAGTCAGTGCTCCACAGGGAGTATAAAGTTCACCTTTTTTAAAATCTAATTAACAATCATTACTGTCTCATCGCTCTGAATTATGGAGGGATCTTAACATGAAAACGCCACAGTTTCCCTGCTTGCACCTGATCGTGTGCCGCCTCACTCAGGTTAGGTTTAATTGATTTCTTCACCTTGCAAAGAGCTTCTTAGGATGTCTATCTGCAGTAGTTTATAGTTAGGCATAAAAACATTTTCAAGAAAGGATAATCCATGTTTTTTTAGATGTAGATATGGTTAAAGCTTTACTTCTTACTCCTTGGTCCATGCAATCCTTGTATTTCTTAATTTATTTAATCACAGTCTCTGTGCTTGAAGTCAGGAAAACAGGGTGATGGATAAGTCATCCATCCATCAGTGCTAACTCACATAGATTAGACAGACGGTCACCCTTCTTTCATACCAATGCGCCGATTTAGAGTCTCCAGGCAACCCAACTATTTTCTTTCCGGACTGTGGAAGGAATTTGGCCTAAACAAGCTAAGGAGAGGATACAAAAAGATCCAAGGACCTTTATAAATATTTTAGATCATAAAGGATGCATTCAAACCAATGTTCGGTGGGGTTTCCCTCAACTTTGCAGGGTTTCTTACTTTAGTTGTGGTTCAACATGTGACGACAATGACAGTAGACCTCAGGGGGTAAAAATATATCTGAAAATGTAGATTTTGGTCCTTTCACACAGTTGGTTATAAGTGAACAACCTAAAACTAAAGAATCAGCGACAAATGCTTACTTTATTAACATCTTAGCCTCTCCTTACCGCGGGAAAGCCTCAATATAAAGCAAGGGCAAACAGCAGTCGTAATTGCTGCCAATAAAGTCTTAACGGTTATATAACGGTTATATAATAATAAATAAATATGATACCTTTGAGTTTATGTGGAATGTTAAATGTCATGTAAGTAGAACACAAAGATGTAACAAATTGCATTTTTCTAAGGTTTTGAAATCTGAAGACAAACTGTGTGTTTCATGTTATTCTAAAGCTATGCACCTCTCTCATCCTCTCCACAGGAAATGCCACGGTGTTGTGGTGCACCTGCTGTACGAATGTCTTTAAATCTGTGACCAACCGATTCATAAAGAACCTGGCGTGCTCTGGCATCTGCGCCGGCCTGGTCTGTGTTCCCTTCGACGTTGCACTTGGAGCCAGCCCTCGCTGCTGCTGGTGGCTCCACACTCTGCTACTCTGCAAGGCCATCAAGTTCCTCCATAAACTCTTCTGCTCGGTCACTGTGCTCAGTTTCAGTGCCATCGCACTCGACAGGTCAGTTTAGAAAACATGTTTGACATAAAATACTTACCAATTTATACACATAGTTAAAGTAGAAAGAGATAATACCTTTTTTAGTCATAGATAATTGAGGCCTGATGTTGAAATTAAAATCCTCCTCTTACAGAACCAAAAGAGCACTCTGTCCCTGAGTAGGACTAGAGTGATGTTTTGTTTTTTTGGTTCATCTCAGCTCTGCAGTAAGAACAACTGACTTTGAAATGTGTGTTTGAAAAAGGCTAGTGGGTTCCTCCCACTCACCTCACTGGATGTAAAAGTACCACTTCAGAGAGGTGGATGGTTCAAATCGATTCTCTGATCAGTTTATCAATACACTGCTTGGCCGAGTCTGCTGGAGTAATTCTCTTCCTGAAAATAGAGACTTGGAAGTACAAACATCCACGCTGCACAAGTGGAGCAAAGACTGTGGCTAAACTCTGGAAGATTGTTTTGGAGAACGTCTTTTTCAATCTCCATCTACACCCTGTGGTGTGGATGAGTGGGGTTGGGGGGCTGCGATCGATAGAGCATGTGTACGTCACGCTGAGCAGCCTCCCTGCAGTGCTAAAAGCTGCAGCTAAAAGCAGCCTGAAATGGCTGCTGCTGCCCACTTATGGTCTCACTGCTTTTTAAAAGTAATACTGATCGTGCCCTTACTGATGATGGAAACCATCATACCTCAGCTAAACAGCTTTTGCATCTTACTTACTGCAATGTCTGTTGCTCCTTGTGCCACTAGTCTTAATTCTTAACCTTTTTAAAAAAAAAAAAAACATTAACTTCCATTAAAGCAATCACTCTTGAAGGTCCAGTGTGTAACCTTTAGGAAGATCTACTGGCAGAAATGGAATATATTCATAGGTATGTTAATTAGTAATATGAGTGTAACACTATATTATTTTCACCTTAAAATAAGAATCATTGTGTTTATGTTACCTTAAATTGAGCCGTTTTTATCTACATAGGGAGCAGGTCCTCTTCCACGGAGGCCACCATATTTCTACAATAGCCCAGAATGGTCGAACCAAACACTGGCTTTTAGCAAGTTTTACCGGCGCTGTAGCTTCTCTTAGGCTGAGTTATATTTAAATGTCTACAGCCTGCAACATCACCGCTTTATATGGCGACTAATGCAGCATTTGTTATGACCAGACCAAGAAGATCTGACTCAAATGCACGACTCGCCACACAGGAGTATCGAGGATGACTCATGTTGTTTACATGTTGTCATGTTGTTTGTTGTTTAAGCAAAGATTTGGTACACTGGTAACCAAAAAACACAGGTAAACAAGTCCAAAGGGCAAATGCAAAAAGGCAAGACAAAAGGCAGGCAAGGGATCCAAAAACCAAAGTACAAAAAACACGAGAGAGAATGCTGGAACACTTGACTAAACAGACAAAGACGAACTGGCACAGAAGGGAGAAAACACAGAGACTATACTACACAGGTGTGGGGGTAATCAGGCACAGGTGCAGGCGGTGCAAACAATTCAAACAGGCGTATGCATATGCTTCTGCTTTGTGGGGCCATAGAGCAAGTGCACAAGAAACTAGCCAGCCAAGCACATCTCTAACTTCTGGTTTAGCCCTAGGCTAACTTAAATGGGGATTAAAACGATTTAATGTCCTCTGATTGGCTAGTATTCAGTGCCTTTGTTGGTTGGGTTGGTTGGGTTGAAGCATGAGGAGTGGGATTGGTTAGGGTGAGGGTAAGAATGTCAGGGTATGTCAGGTAAATGAATATCGGATTGCTGCAGTATAGCTACCTAAAGGTGATTGACATTGCTATACTGTGAAGCCTCATTCTCCAAAATTTCAAAACCTTGACAGCATAACTAGACCGAATACAGTATAACAAATGTATGTTTGGGTTTTATTTATTTTTTATGATGATTGCATTCAGATCCTGTATCGTTATCGCCTTATCTCAGCCTTGGTTTCACTGCTACAAAGATTATATTGCCTCCATAGCAACTAATACAGTCAGAATGCTATCAAAGCGATGAATTATTTATTTTCAAGGAGGGAAATTGAGGCTGTGGATATACAGGCAGGCTGAAACTGCAGCAGTTATAGGTCCATGCACACACACACTTGTACACTTGCATGTGGTGATGAAGAGACAATCCAGGGAAATAAAGCAAGTCCTTCATGTGATTTGTTTTGCTTGTTATTAAGGGACAACAATAGGATGAGAGACAATCTACATACTATTATCTGTGATACAGATATGAGGAGATCTAGTTATGCGTTAGTGGGTGTGCATTAAAAAACACCCACGCAAAATTTCAACTTCTGCATAAGGTAGTACAACACAGATAAATGGAGAGAAAATCCTTTCATCCCATTCCAATAAAATTATGAGTTTTAAATAAGCACATTTTCTCTTTTCGCCCATATTTTTAACCAGCTTACAGGATTTTATGTTGCAGTCATTTTTTGGGTTGTAGCATTATATCAGAGGCCGAATTCAGTCGACAAAGACAATATTATTTCTAAAAACACCTGCACCTTTTTGCATTTTGCCACTTGAAGCTCCACCTTGGTGAGACGGTCATAATTTTAGCTTTACTTAACTCACCTGATTACGGTAATCATACAATCACTAAAAATTGTGGAAATGTATTTTCAGAATTAGATACTTGGGCTTACGGATGTCGGTATTTTAGGTGTTATTTGTATTTCTATGTAAATCATCTTAAGAGAGATTTTCAAGGTGTATCAGCATGACGGCATTCAGGCAACACTCTAGTCAGCCAATGAACAGAAGACATTTTGGCTTATCATAGAGAGAAAGGCACAGTTGTTACATTAACAATGGTTCAGTTCTATTCAAGTATCCTAGCAAACCATGACAGTGTGACAGTGAGCCAACATGAACAAAACCAGCACCCTGAAAATGCAGCAGCTAAATTTAATTCTGACATATTTTTACACCTGGGCTTCTCCTACTGTGACATGTCAACATTTCTTATGTAAAAATGGCCAACATGTAAGTTTTTATGCTGAAATTCAATTTTTTATGTGTGTTTAGATACTACTCCGTGCTGTACCCTTTAGAGAGGAAGATCTCGGATGCAAGATCCCGAGATCTGGTCATCTATATCTGGGTCCACGCGACGGTTGCAAGCCTCCCTGTGTTCGCTGTGACCAATGTGACAGATGTATACGTCACCTCGTCCTGCTCAGATGACCACGCCCGTTCCCTGGGCCACATGGTGTACGTGCTGATCTACAACATCACCACGGTGATCCTCCCTCTCGCTCTGGTCTTCCTCTTCATGCTGCTGATCCGCAGAGCGCTCAGTGCCAGCCAGAAGAAGAAGGTGATAATTGCAGCCTTGCGGACTCCCCAGAACAGCATCTCCATCCCGTATGTGTCCCAGAGAGAGGCTGAGCTACATGCCACGCTGCTGGCTGTGGTGTTAGCTTTCTCAGTCTGCAGCGCCCCCTATGGGGCCTTGGTGGTTTATCGCACCATTTTGGCAGACAGTAAAGAGCTACCCATCTTACTGTATCTAACAGCCCTCTGGCTACCAAAGGTGTCCCTGCTCACTAACCCACTTTTGTTTCTAACTGTTAACCGCTCAGCTCGTCATAGCTGGCTGGACCTGCTTGCCAGGATTCACAGACGTTACAGCCGCCGTAACGTGGTCAGCACCGGGGGTCTGGCGTCTTTAGGGGCAGAAGGTGTGATCGGGGAGCCGGTGGGACTGGAGACAGCCGGCCGCTCTGGGAGCCAGCTTCTGGAGATGTTTAATATTGGCCAGCAGCAGATCTTTAGGCCTTCTGAGGAAGAGGAGGAAGAAGAGGATGTAGAGAATGAGATCCCTTCTCAAGGATCAGGAGGAGGGTCTAAAGAGGACCACAAAGGTGGGTCAAGACTGGGGAGCCTCAGAGGGGAGGTGATCACTAAAAAGGACCCTCTGCAGGGGACAGGGGGAGGGTTGGTCATCACCAAGGATGGCCCTCCTTCAGTCATAGCACCCCGGGCCTCTCCGGTCCACACATGTGCTTATGCCTCTTCATCTCAGGTGGCACCAGCTACACCTACAGAAGCTGAGGACTCCACACAGTTTGGTTTTGGACCCTTTGAACTGCCACCACAGTGGTTACCAGAGACCAGGAACAGCAAGAAGAGGCTGCTGCCTCCGCTGGGTAACACACCTGAGGAGCTGATCCAGACCAAACTGCCCAGGCCGCGGCCTGAACGGAGAATCAGCAGGAACAACAAGGTCAGCACCATCCCCACTGTGGACCCATGAACTATTCCTGCTGGCCACCGATTGGCAACACTGGTCACAGTTAATTTACAGGGTCTCTTGGGTTGACCAGGCCTTGGCAGGATATTGATGTGTCAAGCTGCTCAGTGAAATGGTTTTTTGGTTCATTTAAACCTTTTCACCTTTTTCCCTTTTTTTTCTTAGCTCCAGTATCCAGGTTTTCCACTTTACTGCACAAAAGCGAGACACCTGAGGCACTGCAGCTTTCTTATTGGACAAAAATCAATTTAATATCAAATATTTACAATGCTGTGAGAAATATGCCAGCTCAGTCCAACTGCACTAAGACTTGGACAGATCTAATTCTGTGATTAAGGACTCCTACAATGGCTACATGATTCAGAGGGCAGATACCTTTTTGAATCTCCCTTTTTTCATTAGAGCTGGCATCTGTAGGTAAATAAACACACTGTACAAATCCAATTATCCTGAGAGATGCACTGATACGGAATAATATATTTCCATAACAAATAATCAAGCAAGGATATTGAACCTCCTCACATAACATTTTGTAAAATGGTTATGCTGTGATTGCACTCTGTAAATGAACACATCTCAGTGTCAGTTCCTTTACTTAACCCTTTGCGGTACTGTTTTTTGTAACCATGTTTGAGAAGTTTTACTTCAATATTTGGGATTAATTTGCCCTTTGTGGCCTTTTGGAATATTCACATTTCTTCTAATGTGGTAGATGTTGTTGTCATTTGTACTTTAAATGTAAGTGAATTTGATAAGATGCTAAATGCAGCTGTACAGTATGCAATTACATTGTAAAAAGATTGTACACATTGTAAAAAGATTAAATTTAAAGTTTGTGAGTGTGTTTAGACTTGTTTTCTGAAACACAAATCATCCAGGTCGGGGATCTTTTAGTACCCCGTAGATCAATTTTATTGATTTCTCCCAGGTTTCCTGGAAATCAAGTGCTCATGTAAATGATTGTAAAATAAAGCAAATAAGAGCGAGAAAATATTTTAATATCATCAGAAGCTTTAAACTTCTACTCTTCTTTGTGATGCATAATTCAATAGTAGCAACCTCAACCTGAGGCTTTGGCTGAGGTAAACAGAGCTGGGCTGCAGTTCAAATATTTGTCAAGCCGTAACTCCCTCTGGGGGCTACCCACAATCCCCTGCTATGTCCACAAAGAACCTGAATCTATGCTGCATCCCACCGATGCTGTTATCAGGCAAGATTGTGCACTCACGCCTGACTGGAAACAGTATCCATTGCTACTATTTGAAAGTGGGAAAGAGATGAGTAATGTGTTTATTCTGCTTTGGTAATGACTGTATCAGGGCAGTTATTGCAGAATACAGTGGCTGCTATGGTAGACATACAGCACAGAATGAATACTGAGCCCAAAATTCTTTTGGAAATTCAAAGCATCACATTATTAATTTCTCTGGCGTGAGTGTTTAAGAAGACTAGCCTTGGCTCATGTGTTCCAACTGATTTGATTCATGGCTCATTCAAACAACAATGTTTTACTCCTGCAGCCATTAAGAGCTTTACAACAGAGATACAGTGCAGTAATATTAACATATGCAGTAACACAGATTCACCCCCCCCAAAAATACACACATTTCAATAATTGCAATGCTTAAAGGTTAAAATTTACACATTTCTAGTGTTAAAGGCCCTTAAATTTATTTCTGCAATCTGGTTCTTACTTTGACTAACTAGATCCCACATGAACACAAACTTTTTTGCCAAGTTTAGAACAGTTTTGGTTATTTCACATGAAAGATTTTTGTATTTGTGTTATTGTTGTTTTTCTCACTGGTTTGAAGTGGGCAGGGCTCAGCTGGAAAACGTGAGGTCATGTAATTCTGTACACCAATTAGAATCTTGTTCATTCAATGAAATCAGATTACTTTAATTGTTACTGGTTGTGTTTCGTGTAAAAAGTAATAGCTGATGCCCCCACCCAACGTGTACTAGAAGTCATTTAAGCTCTCAGAAAAAAGTGGACATTTGAAAATTTCCAGTTACATGACAACTGTTCAAACTTAGGAAGATAAGATATAATAAGACAATGAAGTACGATTTGAACCTCCAGAACAGTTACTGAATGAACCTTGTGGTGATATTGTTTTCTCAAAGTAATTATTGTTTAAATATACTTTCATCTGCCAAAGACATTGGAGAAAATGTACATTATGTTTTCCATTGTACATGTTAACATATGTACATAATGCACCAACTGTAAATTAGTCTCCTTACATAACCACTATACATCAGACTCCAGTAGGTTTTTTTTCTTCCTCCAGTGACTTTTCAGAGAAGGCAGTGGTTTTTGACTGGTTTTCAAGGACTTTGTTTTTGTGGCTGATGGGGTAGTGAATGTCTAGACATATTAATAAAAGATCAGAGGCTTACTGCCTACGCAAAAGCTCTTATGTATTCTGTCAGCAGCATAACCACTGCGCTTGGACATCCAGCAGAATGTTAGAACTCCAAATTCAGGTTATCTAAAATAATCTTTTATTAGCTTTATATTAAAAGTCTGTTGTCATCTAATTCGTTCGTACAAATAGCAGAAGAAATCTTGGTTGCAACATTTTAAATTATAGCAAATTATAGCACCTGCAATCCAGACTGTGAAAGTACGTAAAAGTAGAGTCCAGTAATCTTCTTTGCAGTCTGTGTAAGAAGGAGCACATGAGGAGCTTTTGAGTAACAGAAGCAGGAGAACAAAGTCTCTGTTTGTTATCAGCTTTGGTTTATTGTAATCTAAGCAGGCATTGTCGTCAGTGGTATTATTCATGTGGTCACTGGTATCGTCACTGTTGTTTTTTTCCCCACAGTCTTGATCTTCATGGATAGTCCGCTATGGAAAATGGTATTGTATTGCTGGTGCAGACACTTTAGTGGTGTTGTCAAGGAATAGAAGCCTCACAGACATGCACAAATTGTTCCATGATCAGAAATAATATTAGGACTTAATGCAAAAAAACATCTTTATAGGGCAGTTAATGTATTCAATGAAAACACTGTTTTAACTGCTTTGAGCTGCTACATTAAATAAGAGCCATTTCATATTTAAATATTCCTTTTTCAAGGCCATTTCAGACTAAGTTGTGGAAGTGCATCACACTGAATTTATTCCTAATTAATTTTTCCTGCTAAAGTGTCGTGCAAATCCACCCAGTATGTATTTGAACTGGAATGACTTAACTCTCATTTGAATTAGAAAAGACATTTCGTGTCCGGTTTTGTGACCGCCTTCTCCTCATGTTTAATCAATTTACAGTGACAAATTAAATGTAAACTTAAATTCCATTAAGTTCAAAACATAATTAAGTCCATTATTCTTCTCCCGAACAGAGCAGTTTAGTCAGTACAGACACAGTAAAGGTTTAAATATTAATATGTGCAAGATTCAGGACACCCTATGGGGTCAGGTGGCAGTGTGCTGGAGTAGAGGAAGGGCACATACTGTAAAGACCACAAAGAGACATAACAGGTAAGCTGATTTAAAGGGTCAGTTCACCCAATTTACAAGAATAAATATCACTTACCTCTAATAGTATCCAGCCACGCAAATGGTTTCAGTTTTATTTGTCCAGATTTGAGATGTATGTTTATATGTATGTTTCTGCATCCACTCCAATACAATGGAGATGAATTGAACTTTGTTTCTGGTCCTCACTCAATTTAAAATGAACCATACAAACATTATCTCATCATGACTACATTTTTTGTCAGTGCCTTCCAAAATATGACTTAGGATATGACTGCTGGGGAAATTATGCTTAAGATTGTGTTTAATTTTTAACAACTAGAACTTGGTTGCAGACATGATACAACAATGGCATGTTACTTCTGCTTTCGTCATTACTTTCAAGGCCACTGGAGGTCGCTTGTAAATTAGTATTTATAGGGATTCTATTTTGGTAGACAGTTGTTCCAATAGAAAAATGTTCACAGCAAAGACTGCGACCCAACCTTTTAACTACCAATCAGCTATTGAGCTTGGCTGCCCGAGGAGCCTGTGAACATAACCTAGAGACTTCAATTACATAGTAATTGGGAGGCAGCGCCCCAGTGTGATGAGAACATTTGAATAATAATTGCCTTCCTTCTTGAACTTATGCTAAAAGTGACATTTTAGACCATGCACCCAATCTTAAGTTATTTTACAGATACAACTATATTTGTGCATCCTACAGCTTTAGGGCATATCACACAATCTTGTTTATATTTATTAAAACAAATTGAAATGTTGCTACCAGCCACAGCTGCCGCAGGCTGTAAGCTAACAGTGAATCATGGAAAACAACAGTGCAGCATTACATCTGATTGGTTCATTCAAATCCACAACAATAATGATAATTTAATATGCTCCCTCTTATTATGCAAAGCTTATTTTAATTAGAGGAAATCAATCACCAAACGGTTGACAGAGCCATTATCGGCGCCATGGATGCATTCATTAACATCAGGTCCACTTATAGGACTTACAAATAGATGCAGCATGAAAGAGTTTTTAACAACTTGATTTTTTATCGTAGCCATTATTCATAATAACTGGAAGCAAAAACTGATTTAATTAGCCTGGTTGCTAGGCAACAGGTAACCCAGATGCTTTAGAGCAGATTCTATAGCAGCTAGAGTGCTTCCCTCACTGCTGACTTCAAACAGGGCTGAGGCCAGCACAAGTGTGAGGCTAAGGACATGTTATAGAATGAGTCAGTGAACGCTAGCTGTGGCAGATGGTAGCAAAGTCCTCTTAATTCATTTCGAGAGGACCCCAGAGGAAAGGGAAATCAAAAAGATGTCATTTTTTTCCACCCGGCGTTTCCTCGACATAGCTGAGTTCCTTTGAAAATCAATGTGGCATTTTGTCTGTTTTCTTACGCCTCAATTTAGCTTCTTAACAAACCTACCAAAAATGTATGTCTTGTCCAGTACCTTGGGTTTCTGAATGACCAAACAAACATCTACAGTTAGTCAGTTGCTAATTATTTAGCTTTAGTCAGCTTTAAAACGTACCTGCATATGTCATTATGGTTGGTTTGGATGCAGAATTTATTTATAGCCCTTACTCTTATA